TATAAGTGCAATAAATCCGATCAGCCAATGCAAACCCCGTCTAATAGTCACCTCTACACGTGACAGTAATAATCGTATGAATCACTTGATTTAATTCAACAGCACAAAAAATGAACAAAACTGCACAGTGTTCAATTTTCTTGGCAGAGAAGAGGAACACTATCATGATTGCAGAGAAAACTGATCTCCTGTACAATAATCGCCCATAAAAACAAAAAAGCAACTCCGTGGCTTTAGTCCGCAAGCGAACTATACCGACCGAGCGACCGCTGCTTGTCGGCGAAGTTAGTGCCAATTTTTGCGGATAGAGAGTGTCGTGTGGTCAGCACAACGAAACCCCACGGCCGTTAATCTCGGTTTTCTAGACCGGAGCCACTACTTTTCTATTCAAGTAGCTCCTCAATTATCCTCAGGAGGCTGAGTGGAGCTCGTTCCAGACCCACTACTTTTCAGACAGTATGGTAGCCCCGGGAATCAAACCCGGGACCTATAGATCTGTAGTCAGAAACTCTGACCAGTAGACCATAGAGGCGGTCAATCGTCGCCTATAAACTGAAAAAATATTCAATGAAATTTCATTCACGGACTATAATTTTTGTGAAGGACAAGATTCTTTACTTTGGACTAGACGGTTCAATGACAGGACAGAGAAAGTACAAAGAGGGATCAAAGTCGAAGTTTTACATAAGAATGAAAAAAAAAATCACTACTCCACCGCCAAGCTAAGCTGTGAACCTGCTCGTCGAACTGCAGAACAGCGCCTTCCTTATGCGGTCTAGATCGATGTATCAACTTCAGACGTTACAATAGGATGGGCCAAGCTGACAGATGATTTTCACTGTTAATTAGGAACAGCGAGGAAGGAATTGATTTTAGCCTATTTTTAAAAACCACCCACACAGCGGACTGGCCAGGGGAACAAGGAAAACTTTGCTACAATAGCTAGTGCATCGGAACCCGAAAAATTGAAACGCTATTTCAGTCTTATTTAACATCACAATGGAGATTAGTGACGCCTGATATTTCCTCCAGTCACTTCTGCTGTTTTAATTATTGTTCACATCACTGGACTGAAAAATACATATAAAATAAAATTTGTGTAACTAAAGTACTGAAACAGAGATACTGGGTTTTCGGGCTTTATCCATCGTCCTGGTTTTTAAGATAACTAAGAAAAACACGACGTTCCGGAAACTGGATCTCTTTCCGTCCTCAGGTGAGGGAAAACACCTATTCTGTTGGGTCCCTGAGGACGGAAACAGATCCAGTTTCCGAAACGTCGTGTTTTTCTTAGTTATCTTAAAAACCAGGACGATGGATAAAGCCCGAAAACCCAGTATCTCTGTTTCAGTACTTTAGTTACACAAATTTTATTTTATATGTATTTTTCAGTCCAGTGNCAGAAATTATAAAGTATTGGAAATTGTAATTACGTTTCTTGGATGCGACAAACTCCTTGTCTCTTTCTTTTAGAGAGAAAGAAAGAAATCCGTCACAGTACAGCCTCTTTTCAAAATCTGCTTCTATCAACTTCGCTAGCCAGCAGAATCTAATCCCGGTAATGCAGAAATGCCATTGCGCGACCTTTGAGCCCTAAACATCCGCATTTTCCTCATATGGCGACCGCACTGTTTTTGGAGCCACAGACTAGTAGCGAACCCAACCGTTTCGCTGGCCTCATGCATAAGGAAGGTTGTGATACATAAGCCTCACAATGCATACAGCTGATTTCAAGTAAAGCCTTACAGCTTATCACTGAATGGAGAAAAGAAGTCTTCTCTCGCTTTTTCAGTAGCCAGTCGGAATCATTCGACACTGTGCTACCGGGCGTCGCAGTCGAGTGCATAGTACTCGGAAGGTCCAGGGCTCAAATATCGGGAAATCCTCACTGAGGATTCCCGTCGATTTCCTCAGTCATCCAAGCAAATGCCGAGATAATAGGCAATATCACGGGCGTTTTCTTCCGTGTTCTTTCCGATTTGTTTTTTACTAATCATTCTACCGTTCAGTGCTATATAATCTGAGCTACTGATTAAGTAATTTACTCGTGAGTCCCTTCGGAAAAGCTTATAGTTGTTTAGTCCAGCATTTTATGAACCGCAGATATTCATTTCCGTGTTCATAAGAAACCATCACTTGACCCAGTCCTGAGCCAGATGAATTCAGTCCACGCCTCAACCTATTAATTTACCGTCCATGTACGTCTACGTCTTCTAGCGGTGTATTTTCTTCATGTCTTCCCATCAAAACGTCTTATGTACCCCTCTCTCCCAAGCTTGATATATGTCCTTCCTATCTTACCTTCCTTGATTTCAAGATTCTAACATTTTGCAAGAAGAGCAAATCACGAAGCTCCTCGTCATGTAACTTCCTCCGGCTTCCTATTACTTCGTCTCTTGTTGGTCCATACATTTCTCTCAGTACCCTCAGTCTATGTTCCTCCCTTAATGTGAGAGATAAAGCTACAGACCCACCCAACACTACACGCAAAATGACTTTTATAGACTATTTGAACTGTCATGCCTCTGGACAGCAGGCGAGAAGACGTAACTTTCTAAACTGAATATTTTTCTCTCCTCTTGCTCCCACTTTGGAGCATAGGGCTGATTTCTCAGTTTCATCATCATTTTTACAGACGGTAGGACTCCTTCGACGGGTGATCAGCTCGTCGCAAAGCATCTACCTAAACACAGGACAACACAAACACAGAATAAACACATACCCACACACACACACACACCAAACATCCATACCTTGTGTGGGATTCGAACCCACGATCCCGGCTTTCGAGCGAGCGAAGACAGTACATGCTTTAGACCCGCTCGGCTACCGTGACCGGCTCTCAACTGAATGGTAGCAAATATTACCCGAACTAATCTTCTTCTAATTTTTTCATGAATGTTATTTACAATTATTAGCATCGTTCTCAGATGTTTAAATTTGTCCACATTTTTAAAGAATCTGATTTGAAGTTTTTATGTTATGAATTTGACCTGCATTCTCGTGAAGAGATATCAACACATATTTCATTTTCTGTGTGTTTGCTTATAGACCATTCTCCTTCCTAGCTCCTATTAAAGCGTCTCTGTTTCTCTTTATGGTACTGATATCCTCAGTAAATTATCATCATCATCAGCATGGACCAGAAGCTGGTAGTCCCATTAGCTTTCATTTCTACCTGGTTTCCTTGTACTTAATAATGGTGTGTTCTAAAGCAAAGTTAAAAAAACAATGGTGATAAAGCCACTCGTTTCACGCTGGTCTGAGTAAAAAATATATTAGACAAGGTATATACATATATGGAATTTGCTGTGAATTTAATTTTAACATATTTCAAGTGGCGTAAATTTCAGATACTGACATCGTCGTTAAATATAACTACAAATAAATAAATAAACTGACCCGAAAATATGGACACGACTTAACCGAAACCCTTTCTTAGGGAAAATATGCTAAAAATTTTAATTGTGGAAATAAATTGCAATAAGTAGGGCAAGATTGGAAAGAATTCGTACGAGTTTCGCACAATAAAATCACACAACCGCGTTCACAGCTAATCAATCAAAAGCGATCAGACCTGCTCAGCCAGCAATAACGCACAACATTGACACTGATGCTGCTGTACCGAAAGAAAGATATAAAACCCATAGAGAGCAAGAGAGAACAACAACCGCGCGACGTTGATTGATGGCCGGGAGCAAACTGTCCAGTCATCATCCTTCAATGACACTCTGGCTGCATCATCGAAAGCAAGAAATACAAAGAATAGCTGTCAGCAGATATAAAACACGACGAACCGAACACTTCAAATAGAAGCTTGTAAATCGACGGTGGGAAAACAAGGGATTTACGATCATAAAGTGGAAGGCAAGAGATCAAGTGAGGTCGAAGTTCCCAACTTAACGATAAATTCAAATGTGACAATTAGGATTACTAGCACCATCACTACTACTGCTATACTGCAATGCTACTCACGTTAAGCAGATCTCTTGTCAGCATGGCATAACGTGTCCTCAGTCACGAGTGGAGGCGACAGGATCCACATGTGGAGGTTAGCTGTAAATATATTGAATAATCAGTCATGAACAGCAGTTTGGATGTTGGAGGGGGAGGCTAACAGCTACTCGCTGTAAAAGAAAAGCCCCAAGCAAAGTGGATTCCATAAAAGGTTGGAAACTTCCCGAATACGTGTATCTGAGGGACTATTAACTTCCAAAGGACTCTGCTTTTATTATTNTTAAACTGAATTATTATTATTATCCTCTTTAATATATATACATTTCATACCACAATTAAATATTTAAACGTTTCATTTCTCAGTTCTCAATAACAACTTAGATTTATACTAATGATATTATTATTGTTGTTGTTTATTTACTTGTTTGCATTAATCGGGTTTTTTCCAGTGCTTTCCTTAATTTGTCTTTGACTTTATGTTATGTTTGTCCATAATGTAATTACTTGTATCTACACGGTTCTGTGTCTGTATTTGGCCTTGTGGCTGTTGACTCGGTACATAAATAATAAAGAATTGATTTGAATTGAATTATTGTATATTGATCTCCTGTAAAATAATGGCCCATAAAAACAAAAAAACTAACTCCGTGGTTTCAGTCCGCAAGTGAACTATACCGACCGAGCGACCACCGCTTGTCGGCGAAGTTAGTGCCAAATTTTGCGGATAGAGGGTGTCACGTGGACAGGGCAACGAATCCCCACGGCTGTTAATTTCGGTTTTGTAGACCGGAGCCGCTATTTCCTTGAAACAGCTCCCCAATTATCCTCACGAGGCTGAATGGACCCCGTTCCAGAACTCCAACTTCTCAGAAAATCCGGTAGCGCTGGGAATCGAACACGGACCTCTGAATCTGTAGCCAGGAACTCTGATCACTGGACCACAGAGGCTGTCACATTAGTGAAATAAAAGCGAAATCTTACGGTTAATTTTAGCATAAAGCAGTTTTAAGTGAACACGACTAATATGTATCATCTTGTTCCAGCTACGTCATACGTCTCTACGTATTCGTATGCTTCTCGCTGTGGGGCCAGGAAGCTCCTGCTTCCTTGTGGTGTCTGCAACAATTCTTCATGCTCCTCTACTACACCAACTTCAGCATCAATTTCCTCCTGTACTCAGTTTGCGGGATCACCTTCCGTCGCTGCATGTGTCAACTTGTGCGCAAGAATTTCAAGCGTTTGCCTCGCTACCGCATGAACCCCCAGCCGTACACCTAAACGGCCCGAAAGGTAACAATTGGCAGGTAATTCGCTCAGTATCTTGGCTGCCTAACGCCTCTCCTCTTGCTCTTGTTTCCACCGTTAATTTCCAGCGCCATTCCTCAACCTTCAAAACACAGTGGTTCCCATACGCATCGCCCTCTTTAACACTATAAAACCTTGCATTATTCCGGTATATTTATGTTTCAGCGATTCTGAAGAGTTAGTTGCTCTCTTAATGGAGGCGTTGTGTGTCTTCAGTGAGGTAGATAATTAATTTTAGCTACTACTTAGACAAACTTCAGCTTCTGTGTTTTCATATTGAAGAACCTTTCCAAATGTCTACGATATCGTCCGAGATCATGAAGCGTTGTGCCAGAAGTAGCATTGCAATTCTTTCGGTAGTCATTTTTTGCTACTGTTTTTATTGTTATTATTTTAGGAATACGCTGACACTGAGTTCCTCGGTGCTGCAGCCTCAAGTTGGCTTATTTTATCAACCCAGGATAACAGATGGCTACAAAGCACAGGTTTAATAACTGACGTCCTCGTAGAGAGAGCTGTCCTAGTGCCAGTCCGTCAGTCACACACTCAAATGTAACAGCTTGGGAGCCATAATGCGCCTGTCTGCTGCTTCTGGGATGGCCTCCCGATATCAGTGTTTGTTTGATATCCGTCGACAGTCACGGAAGACTTGCAAGAAAATGCTTTATCTGTAGCACATTTTAACGTTTAAAATACATTAATATTATTCGAATTGTAGGGTAAAAACAAAATTGTAACCATGATTACTTAAGCATGACTCCATGAAGACGTATGGTACAGTGCAGCTATAGCTCCACATATTCGGTGTTCGTTGGAGATGAGTGCTGAGCTTCACGCCCCAGCCCATTTATTCCTGGGCAAACAACCTCGCTCCCCATATTTTACCCGTTTATTAATATACAGGGTGAACCCCACAGACGGATTGGATGCAAGAGCGAAGGAAAAAATTTCTTTATCTGCTGGGAATCGAAATTTGACCGTGGATCACGTAGCCTAATCCTTATACCGGTTCCGTGATTTGTAGTTTAGGCCCGTATAAATTCTGTATCATCCGGAATTTTCCAAAAATTCATCATAGTACGCACCTGATCTTCACACAACGCGCAGACCTTCTTTCTACTCGCATTTCAGGGTTCCTCGTTATTACGTTTAAACCTGAGTTCTGAACATAACCGGAATAGATGTATGGCGTGAGTGAGTGAGTGACAGAGTTATTGCCTCAATAAATTAGCGAACACCACAGTGAGTGCGTTAGTCAATAACAGGTGAGTGAGATAGGACTCAGAGAATGTACTTCTCTCGCAGTCGTCAACCGCTTGAGTCCAATCTTACATTGAATGGAAGAAACATTCCATTTGTAAATTTTCTAAAATATCTCGGTGCCATCTTCGATAAGAAAGCTACATGGAAAGTGCACACAGCAACGAACATTTATGAGAGTATATTCCCTATTCGAACGTGAGCGATTGAGTGCTAATATTGAACTGACCCTCCACAAAGCACTCATTAGGAGTATAATGACTTATGCTTGCCCTGCCAGAGATTCTGGGGCAGACGACCATCTACTGAAATGTAACGTCTGCAAAACAAGATTCTCAGCACCTCTGGAAATTTTCCAAGACGCACACAGGTTCGCGATTTGCACATGACCGTCAAAAATCCGTACTTATAATAGAATTATGCATGCAACAAGCAGAAGTCATACAAAAGTATGAAAATGTGAATGCTCGTAACACTGTACAAGGCGAAGCCCGACAGAAAAATATAAGAGGATTAAACTTGGCGGCATTTAAGCATACGACCGTTCAAATGAATAGACTGTCGTTACAGCGGGAGCTACTGAAGATACAGCATGAACTGCTGTACTTAGCGTGAACTGACAGAGGCTTTGTATACATTGAATATACATACTTTCAATAATACGTAAAATATAAATATCTTGTATATACCAAAAACAGACTTATTACTGCTGACAGTGACTCTAACAAACGACAGGCCCGTCTTCTCGTCAGAGAGGGCACCCCATATGGACAAGACAGTAACTCTCAAACAGGAACTAATATTTGGTCACGATACCCAGATTGGGTGCGAAACCAAGACAAACGTATTGACTGACCGTCAGTCGCAATGTGACTTTGGCATTTAAGGCAACTGAGTTTCGAGACACTAGTTCAGTTCAGAGTTGAAAGTCCGGCTGTGAAGAGAAGAATATATGTGTGCTATAGCACCGCGATATTTGGACTGTGTGATTCAGCGAGACTGTTACAATTCCTGCTTTAAATTCCATTACCAGGAAACGAGTAGTGGAGAGTGTAACAGACTGAGGACACCAGTAAGGGTGTAACAGTTAACTGTAAAGTGTGTAGATCAGCGATAGCGCTGTATATTTTTTTATTGCTAGTGGGATGGGACTAAGTTCCTTGTACTGCGGCCCCTTCTGGCCTATTGTACCAGCCTCAGATGATAGGTGAGGGTGATTGTGGAGCAATTGGTGGAATGAAGACTGGCAGGGGAAACCGAAGTACTCGGAGAAACCTGCCCCAGCGCCACTTTGTTCACCACAAATCCCACTTGACCAGACCAGGGATCGAACCCGGGCCGCCGCGGTGGGAAGGCAGAGACTAACCGCTTGAGCTATGGCGCGGTCTTAGCGCTGTATTACTTGTAGTTAAGAGCTGAGTGTATAAATGCAATAAATCCAATCATTCAATACAAAACCCATTAAGTAACCCCTACACATGACAATACCATTCAGCAAACGCTTTTAACTATAGAATGTAGGACAAAACTATAAAATCGATCTATTTCAATAGATCAGCCAAAACAAAATATTCCCAGAAGTGGGCAGTCGTCCAACAGGGACAGATAAACTTAGAGCTGCTATAGTGACACAATCACAAGCAAAACGTATATCAAAATTTGGGATGAAAAAATTGTAGGCCGAGACTGTATTCAAATGTCACTGTTCAGTTGTTATTTTCTGATAAATAATATTCAGGAATAATATTAGGAACAAATTATATGTGGAAATTTTGAATTATATTGAAGAAAGCAGTCTTTTGGGATTTGGCACCGTGTATAAGTGGTGTTAACCGACGTTTCGGAGGAACGTATCGCCTCCATCTTCAGGGTAGAAGAAAATATAAGAATTCTGCAAGCGAAGAGACCGTGAGAACAGGTAAAAGCAGACTGATTTTACCGGTTCTCACGGTCTCTTCGCTTGCAGAATTCTTATATTTTCTTCTACCCTGAAGATGGAGGCGATACGTTCCTCCGAAACGTCGGTTAACACCACTTATACACGGTGCCAAATCCCAAAAAGACTGCTTTCTTCATAGTCACCGCTGTGAAAGCCTCAAATCTTACATTTGAATGATATTGTTAACAATTTCACACAGATATGAAAAAAGCCATATTCAACACATGCCTGAAAATAGAATTCCCTTGATATATGGTGACCTGTCATCTTCAGGAAATTAGAAGTTGTGAAGGACTACTAACCAAAGGAGCCGCAACAAGCCTCTGAGCCTAATGCTTGATATAGAAGATGAATAAAAGACAATTAATATTGTCGCATCGGATAAATACAAACTGAGATTTTGTCCAGTGTGCGAGTTTGGATTCCTATTACATGCGATTATTGGAATAAAATGTGAAAATAAATTCTCCTTTTGCATAATTATGTGCCACGCCATGAAGACATGTGGGAGAATGGAGATATAGCTACACACATCCTTAAACTCAGCAACAGATGAATGTAAGTGGTAAACTTCACACCCCGACAACTTTCCTCCTGAGGAAAATACCCCCGGTAATTATTCGATAGGAGACTTTGTAGGCCCCAAAGCCGGCCAGGAGACGGTGGAAGAGAGAAAACACTCCTGCTCCTGCCAGCAACCGATCCCGATTTTTCGGTCATCCAGCAGTATACCGATTGAACTGTTATTTATATTTATTTCCGGAGATAGGAACTAGCTTTATCGATTGAGCCCAACCGAGTAGGTATTTTACATGAGGCTGCAAGAAGAGACCAGCCTCCGAAATATCATTTTAAATAGAAATGGGGCGAAGGATATACTCGAAAGTAAACTGTTATATTAATTTGCAATCCTAAAGCACTTTTAGATCTTACACAAATATCGTTCTTTATATTCTGTAAATATAAAATTTATTAGAGTTAAACATGTTCACCAAGGAAGAAGAGAGTACCTGGTAGTGTAGTTGGTTCATGTACTGAGATAGGTTCGATTCCTGATTAGGTATTGGGTTTTTCAATTGACCTAATCCTTCCAACCTCTAAGGCATGCACTGTCTTCGCTCGCTCGGAAGCCGGGATCGTGGGTTCGAATCCAACTCAGGGCACGGATGTTTGTGTGCGTTTTTCTGTGTTTGTCTACAGGTAGAGGCCTTGCGACGAGCTGATCACTCGCCCAAGGAGTCCTACCGAATGTTTAAGATCTAGTAAACCGAAGTGAAACGGAGAGTTTCATGGAGGTAGGCCTAGGCCCAAATTGGGGCTGTAGCGCCACAGAAAAAAAATCCTTCCAACCGCACTATAGCCCGGGGGTCGACTCAGCTTCTAACAGAAATTAGTACAGGAAACTTCTTGGGTGGTAAAAGGCGGACGGCGAGTAAGGCTGATAGCCTTACCGACATCAGTGAGCCGACTGTCTAGAAAATGTGGGAGTCTCGACGTCTCACAACTCTATGGGCCCCCAAGGCCTGTTACAGAGATATCTTTTTTTTTTTGCCAAGCATGGAGCATAGTGACAATATTTATGATGCATGGGAACTCATTCTCCGCAACTCAGTCTTTGTGTAAGCCTGTGGGAGAAAGTAAGAACTCAGCGTAGCATGACTCAGAGGAGCTAGAGCCAGTGACAGTTCAACCAACTACTATTCGTTAATGGTGCAGTGTTGCAATTACCGGCATTCTGAACTACAAAACATAACATATAAGTCGAATGCACAAAAAAAAAAAAAAAGCAAGCAAGTTTGA